GTGACTGAATCTGCCTATCTTCTCTGTTGCTTGGCACTTTTTTTGTATCTGTGTAAGAAATCCTTCCCTACCTAAAGTCATGGGATTACTTTTCCTTATATTTTCTCTCAAATGTATAATAGRCTTGCTTTTTTAAATTTAAGCTTCTCATCCATTTGGAGCTTTTGTATTCATGCCATTTGTATTTGTGGTAATTTCATATGTTTAAAATTTGTGTTTACCTATCTTTTCTAACTTTTCTTGATGAATCTATATTGTTCTTAAAATAACACATTAAAATTTTCAAAAGTTCAGTTGGATAAGTAAAAATGTTTACCACACACAATATTTTCAATCCCTTTGGATTGATTCTGCCTATTATTTTGACTTACCAGAATCTTATGTGGGTGGTTGTGTAGTGGAGGGGAGACCACAGGGTAGCCCATTTCTACATTAGGGCAGTCTGAGGTGGAATGCAGGTTGGGAAGGAAGAGGAGTAAGATAGTATTCTGTATAGGCATTCAGTACCAACCTATATGGCTCACTTCCATTTGCAAAGCACCTTGACTGACATCTTGCTTGATTCTCACAGCAATTTCATCAGACAGCGGAGTTCAGGTGAGGAATCCAAGGTTCAAAGACATCTGATTCTTACCCAAGCTTTGTTAAGTGTGCATGTTCCTGCTGCAGTACTTGTAAATAATTGCCCTGCCTCTTATCCTTTTCTAACTTTTCTTCTTCTTCTTCTTCTTCTTCCTCTTCCTCCTCCTCCTCCTCCTCCTCCTCCTCCTCCTCCTCCTCCTCCTCCTCCTCCTCNTCTTCTTCTTCTCTTCTTCTTCTTCTTCTTCTTCTTCTTCTTCTTCTTCTTCTTCTTCTTCTTCTTCTTTCTTCTTCCTTTCACTGGTTAATCTAGTTTGTCCTCAACCTTGAGATCCTCCCACCTCAGCCTCTCAAATAGCTGGGATTCCACTTGTACACCATTATACTGGGCTTCATCCTGCGTTCTTTTCAGTAAAAATTTCTCTGAGAGGCAGGTATTTGAAGGATGACGTTTTGACATTGAAGAAGTGATGTAGTGTTAACTTGGAGTAATAAGCTGTGCTTTGTGCTAAGATAGTTAGTGGCTATAAGTTGCCCACAGTTTCTCTCCATCGTTACAAACTCCCAAACACTTCTCTGTAGTATCCAATCTCAGGAAATGAAGTATTGTCGCTATATGAATTAATGCATGCCTCATAATGTTTTATTTTCTCTCATTTATAAGCTTGACTAAGCTTTGACATTTGCTTCTTTTTAAAGCAGTTTCCCAAATGAAATCATCTTGGTGTTTGTATTTGCTTTATTAGTCTTCCATGACTTTAACAGGCAGCCTTAGAAACAAAGGGCCCTTTCTTTACTTCCTTGGCACAATCTGCATCATTTTTGAACATAAGAAAGGAAAAAGATGAAGACGATTTTCCTTTGCTCAAATATCAATGGCATTGTCTAAGTTCTCTAGGCTAAATTAGGTGGAAAAAATAAATCTAAAGTCATTTTGAAAGTATGCAACTTTCTCCCAATTCTAAATCAGAGATCAACAAACTTTCTGTAAAAGCCAAGGTAGTAAATATTGTGGGCTTTATGATTTTAATGACAACTACTCAACTCCACCATCGTAGTTTGAAAGCAGCTATAGGCAAAGCATAAACCAATACGCATTGCATCATGCCAAAAAAGTTTTATTTATAAGAACAAACAGCAAATGTGGTCCCAAACCAGAGTTTCCTGACCCCTATTTTGGATTATTTCAGCGTTGTCTACCAGGAATCTAATTCTTTAACTAAGTGATTTCTTATCAATTATATATTTCAGAGCCTCTTCCTATTATCAAAGCTTCTAGTTGGTTTTTATTTTCTGCAAAAGTAAAGTATGATAATTGCAAAGATGATGACAATTCACTACATTCTAAGCTCATTAAGAGTCAAAGGGAAGTCTGGCATTATAGGGCACCTATTAACCTCTTTCTTTCCAAGATTAGGGTTGCTGTGAGCTATAAATTTACATGGTTCAGGCACATATTAATCTCTAACCTCTTACTGTGTTTTAAACCTCTTCAACAATGATAGAAGACAGGCAGGTTTGTAAATTGTCCAATCAGCATTTTATTCCATTATGGTCATCAGAACCACAGATCTGAAAAGTATCTTCACTTTTATCGTTTAATTCCTTTAGAGAGCAAACAGATGTGAAAAACATTCAATGACTGAGTTGAAAATAAGACCTATTTTTTGCAGCTATTTAGTCACTTTCTCCCATTATGTCTCAGTTTACCCATGTCCCTTTGGGGAATTGTAATTCCTTTTTGTATCAGACTTTTGTGGCACCAGAACAACCAAAGCAATTCTGAGCAAAAAGAACAAGAGGAGRCATCACAATACCTGATATCAAAATATAATATAGAGTCATTGTAACAAAAACAGCATGATATTGACATAAAAAAATGATACATAGACCAAAGACCAGAATAGAGGATCAGGAATAAACCCATGCATCTGTAGTCATCTGATTTTCAACAAAGAAACCAAAAACATACATTGGAAAAAAGACAATCTCTTTAACATATGGTTGAAGAGGGAAAACTGAAAATCCACCTGTAAAAGATTGAGACTAGATTTCTCTCACCCTGTAAAAGCGTCAACTCAAAATAATCAAAGACTTTAATGTAAGACCTGAAACTTTGACACTGCTAGAGGAAAACAGAGGAAGCACTTAAAGATATTGGTACTGAAAAGCACTCCAGTAGCTCAGAAAGTAATAGTAAGAACTGAAAAAATGGGATGGTATCAAATTAAAAAGCTTTTGCATAGGAAAAGAAACAATCAACAGTGAAAAAACAGTCTATAAATGGGAGAAAATCTTTGCCAGCTAGTGACCTGACAGGATTAATATCCAGAATATATTTTTTAAAATTCAACACCAAAAGAACAAGTAACCCAATCAATAAATAGGCAAATGAGCCTAGCAGACACTTCTCAGAGGAAGAAAGCACAGATGACAAATAAATACATGGAAAAAATACTCAACATCAGGGAAATGCAAATAAAAACCATACTGAGATTCCATCTCACCCCATTATCAGAACACAAAAGTGACAAATGCTGGTGAGGATTCCAGGGAAAAGGAACTCCTACACTTGGTGGGAATGTAAATTAGTATAGTCATCATGGAAACAGCATGGAAGTTCCTCAAAAAACTAAAAATAGAGCTATTATATGATCCAGCTACACCACTCTTGGGTATATATCCAAGGAAATAGAAGTCAGCATACAAAAGATTCCTGCATACCCATGTTTAGAGTGGCCCTGTTCATAATTTACCAAGTTATGGAATCAGCCTAGATGCCAATCAATGGATGAATGGACAAATAAAATGTGGTATATATGCACAATGGAGGAATATTATTTAACTATAAAAAAGAATGGAATCCTGTTATTTGCAGGAAAATGGATGGAAGTAGAGATCATCATGTTAAGCAAAATGAGCCAGTCTCAGACAAGTATCACATGTTTTCTCTCATATATTGAGATTGGAAAGAAAAGAAAGACAACATGAGAGCAGAAGGTGGCCTACTGGCAAGGGAAAGGAGATCAGGGGAGGAGAAACAGGGGTAAGAAAGGGTAGTAGGAGGGTGGATCAAAGCATGTTATATACATATAGAGACATGTCACAATGAAACCTGCTGATTTGCACAATTAAAGTGCACTAATAATTATGATAATAATAAAAAGATTCTGAGATGAAGGGCAACATAGGAGGAACTGATTCTTAAGAATTTTGTACATAGAATCTTCCCATGAAAGAAAATGATCTTAGAAAATATTTTGGAGAATATTTTTAAATGCTTGTCTTTCTGTTTGCTGAGAAATATCTAGGGACACATTTTTATATGCAAGATTCTTACCCTAAGAAGCTGAAAGAATATTTTCCCACTGCCACATTTACTTGTAACATTTAAATTAGCATTTTTGATATAAAAGTAATATAGCTTTACAGAAGGAAATTTGAGAAATTTAGAAAAGCATAAACAAAAAATTAAAATCACTCAAATACAACTGCTTAGAAAATGAACGGTTGCTAACATTTTCTGACATCTCTCTATGCATTTGTATCCATGTAGATTACCTTAAAATTTTCACATGCATCAGTTGATATACAAACCATTTTAATAACCTGTCTTTTTACTGAAGAATATAAAATGGATATGTTTCTGGGTTGATAAGTAAGGACCGACATTTTAATGGCTATATGACATTCTACAGTATAGATGCACTTAGGGTAACCTGCTTAAACAGTTCCCAAGTGGTTAATGTAAGTGCTTTGTACTTTCCCTTTATTATAGAGCATGCCAATGTAAACATTCTTGTGTGTTTCTTCTTGTCCCTGCCATAGCATTGCTTCAAGATAAATTTGAAGAATTTAATATTTGCATATATACATTTACCATATGTATATTATTTTGATACAGAGAAGTGTATGCCCAAATCATATTCTCCCCTACAGTAAATGAGAGTACTTTGCATCCTCACCAATAGTGGGAAATTTCTCAGCAGATCAATGATTCAGGGTCTCAGCATCCTTTATGGTTGCTATTGTTGTTTTGTAAGTATTTTATATTTTTTAAACTAACACCTGCAAATATATATGAGACTATGTTTGGTGTTTTTGTGAAAATTAACTAATTCAATAACCTAATGAAGCGGGCACTATTATCATCTTTAAATTATCCACAAGGAAACTGTTGTGTAATTTGAAGGTCATATGTCTACTAAGTGGGGGAATCAGTAAGTGAACCTTGCTGGTGATCCCACAGTCCATCTTCTTGACCATAATGCCCAGCTGCCAAGAGGAAAAAAAACTCAGCTGTCAAGCAAACAAGCCTAAACACCAGGGTTCAGAGAGTCATATCCTGACCTCCATGCCACAGTTATTTTTAGCATTTTCTATTTTAATTATTTGAAAAATAATATTGTTGATTTTTTTAGGATGCATCAAGCTCAGAAGAAATCTAAAGAAGCTTTGCCCTACTACAAAGAGGCTTTGGAATATACTGAGATCAGCAAAGGTGAACAAAGTCATGAGTATGTATCAGTCTTGAGGGAATTAGCCGCTGTAGAGCAAGCCCTGGGATTGCACGATGTGGCCATCAATCATTTCTTACAGGTAAGGTGTGATGTACTGGCCACTATAGCCACATTAGACCCAATGTTTTTCATAATCACAAGTGGTTACAACAGCCCTGAAAGTGCCTGACTTTGTGGTTTGTTCTGGTTAAGCAGAACACTTGGCCTAGAGTAGATGTTCAGCAAAGATTTTCATATTAGGTGGCCAAGCAGGTGAGTGCTCTGTACTGTCCCCACTACTAGTTGTATATCTGCCAGCAGCCTGAGGTGGGTTTTCTCAAGTTATGTGCAAAATTTAAGTCCTGTCTCCAACATGAAGTTTCTTTATCCTTTGGTATTTATTTAGAGCTCATATTAGTAAACTGACTGGGGAGTCTTTTCTTAAATGACATTCTAAAAACTTTACCTGGAGCCACTTAGAGTTGTATCAGTTAGCTAGTATTCTACTTTGTCACCATAAGATCCTACAGTGAGTATCTCAGAGTACTATGGAGAAAAAGAACCAGTAGGATCCCTTTCTTTCTCAATATATATATTTAGAAAGAGAATTATTTTAAGTAATTGGCTCATGTGCTTTTGGGATTGGCAAGAAATCCACAGGACAGGCCAGCAGGCTGGAAACTTGGGCATGGTTTCTCTGTTACAGTCACAGACAGCCTGGAAATGTGGGCAGGATTTCTATGTTACAATCCTAAAGCTGAATTCCTTCTGCTCTGAGAAATTTCAGGATTTTTGTCGTTGTTGTTATTCTTTAGGTCTTCAACTGAATGGATGAGGTCCACTTATATGAGTGAGAGCCACTTCCTTTACTTAAAAGTAAGTGATTGCAAATGTCAATCACATCTACAAAAGATAGTCACAGCAACATCTGGACTGGTGTTTGACCAAACAACTGGGCCCCATAACCTAGCCAAGTTGATACCTAACGTCAATCGTGTCTTATATCATAGCATGGTTGAAGAGCACTTTTTAAAATTTTTCTGAGAATGCAAAATATAGACTAACCCATGCCTGTTATTTCAAAGAAGATATAATGACATGGTACTGGGAATACATTATTGCTATGTCTTTTTAAATTTGTCTGACAATTTATACTCCCACTCACAGTGTGTTAGAGTGCCCCATTCTTTCACTTTATCTGGATCATCTCTTTAATCATTATTACCACTTTGTAACATATCATTTCCAGCTTATAGAGAAGGAAGATAGGAATTAGAAAGGTTGAGTGATATGCCCAGGAGGATGCAGCCAATAAATGGTATAGCCCAGATTTAAAACTGGTAATTTTTTTAAAGCAAGATTCTCCTGGCTGATGTGTAGAGAATAGATTTGAAAGGTTGTGCCAAGAGTGGAATTGGAGAGATCAGTCGGGAGGCTACTGAAGTAGTGAAAGCGAGAAATGACAGTGGTGTGGAGTAGGACAAAGGTAGCAGGGATGACAAATTGAAGAAATATTTAGAAGTCATAATTGATACAATATAGAGATTATATATGTGTGTGGCAGGGTGAGAAGTCTGGGATGGCTCCCAGATTCCTGTGTGGATGTTTGGGCCATTTACAGTGGAGGAATAGGGGTGACCAGGTAATGCAGAGATGGGGAGCTCTGTTTAGGATGGTGAGTCGGAGAGGCCTGTGAGGCATATGAGTGGAGTGACAGCTGGCAACTAGGTAACCAGGCTGCAGCTCAGGAAGACACCCACTTCCATACAGAGAGGTCATGATCACCTAGGCAGAGGGAGGGGGAAGGGAGGAGGGAGCCAGAACAGAAAACTTCTGACTAATGACAGAATCTTGAGGAACTTACATAGTCATTGGTCAAGTGAATGATAACCTTGGCAAAGAAATAAAAAGGAGAATGAGAAGAATTTGCCAGGAAAAAAAAAACAGAAGAAAAAATAAAAATGAGAGAGATGCCTTTTGTCACTTCTTCTTGATATCTTTTACTATGGAAATAKAATTTTTTTGGTAGGATAAATGGTATTATTTGTAAAGTGCTTAGCACAGTGCCAGATACATAGTGCTACATATGGATTTTTAAGAATTTCTCTCTTTACCAAAGGTCTTTCCTTTTCTGTTCCCCACCCCTACACCTTTTTATTTTTTCTCTCCTTTCATTGGTCACTGGGGCAAAGATGAAGACAGTAAGCAGATTGTATAAAGTGAAATGTGAGGGATTAGATACTAAATGTAAATATCAATTTCAAAAAGTACTAATAGGTGGAGAGAACTAGCCCAGCAAGAGGGCAGAGCTTAGGAAAAGGCCTGAAAGTGAGACAAAGAGTAAACACTGAATATAACCCCGTGCTCTGGACCACAGGAAAGATGCTGGTAGTAGATGGCTATCATTTGGATAAGAGTTGAAAGTCATGTTAAGGAATTTGAGCTTCCTCCTCAGGATATTTGAAGGTTTTCAAGCAGGAAGATTGATACCATCAAATGATTAGTCTTGAAGGAATTTTCTAAGGAGAATGTGGTGGTGGGTAAATAAGCAGGGTAATCACCCAGAGATGACCACCACAGGTCAGGTAGGGGATGATGGTGGCCTGGATTCAGGTGGTATCCCTGGGAATGGAGATGTGTGGGCAGATTTGAGAGACATGTGGGGAATAGAAATGACAGGCCTGGGGGCATATGCAGATGTGGGGGTGTGAAGGAGGGGAGGAGTCCAGGTTTCTGTCAGGTTTCCATTGCCTGCAGGTACCACAGTTTATCCATTCACCTACTAAAGGATATCTCGGTTACTTCCAAGTTTTGCCATTTATGAATATAGCTACTATAAAAAATCCATATATGGGCTGTTACAAGGACATAAGTTTTCAACACCCATGGGTAAATGCCATATGGTAAGAATTGTTTTAGAAGAAACTGCCAAACTATCTTCCAAAGCAGCTAAACCATTTTGCATTCCCACCACCAATGAATGAGTATACCCRTAGCTCCCCATCCTTGGAGTTGTCAGTATTCTGGACCATTTTATTGGTTTTAATTTGCATTTTCCTGATGACGTGATCTGGAGAATCTTTTCATATGCTTATTTGCCATCTGTATGTCTTCTTTGCTGAGGTGCTTGTTAAGGTTTTTGGCCCATTTTTAAGCAAGTTGTTTTTTTCTTGTTGTTGAATTTTTAGAGTTCTTTATATATTTTGGATAATAGTMCTTTTCCCAGAAGTATCTTTGCAAATATCCTCCTAGTCTGTGGCTTATCTTTTTATTCTCTTGATATTGTCTTTCATAAAGCAGAAATTTTTTWAAAAATATTTATTTATTTATTTTAGTTTTCAACAGACACAACATCTTTGTTTGTATGTGGTGCTGAGGATCAAACTCGGGCCGCACGCATGCCAGGCAAGCGCGCTACCGCTTGAGCCACATCCCCAGCCCAAGCAGAAATTTTTAATTTCAATCAAGTCCAGCTTATAAATTCTTTCATGGATCATACTCTTTGTGTTATATCTTAAAAAGTCATCACAAACCCAAGAGCACCTAGATTTTCTATAGTTTTCTATTTTACATTTAGGTCTGTGGTTCATTTCAAATTAATTTTTTGTGACAAATTTAAACTGTATTTCTAGATTTTTTTTTCCCCATGTGTGAATGTCTAGTTGTTCCAACACTGTTGAAAAGATGTCTTTTGTCCATTGTATTGTCTTTGGTCCTTCGTCAAAGGTCAATTGAGTATATTAAGGTGGGTCTAGTCCTGAGCTTTCTATTCTGTTCCATTGATTTATTTGTCTATTCTTTTGCCAACACCAGACTGAAGCTTTATAGTAAGTCTTAAAGTGATGTAGTGCCAGACCTCTAATTTGTTGTTTTCCTCACTATTCAGTTGGCTATTTGGAGTCTTTTGCCTCTACGTATAAACTTTAGAATCAGTTTATCAATATCCATAAAATAACTTGCCTAGATTTTGATTTGAATTGCATTGAATCTATACATCAATTTTAGAAGAATTAATATCTTAACAGTTTTCCTGTCTGTGAATATGGAATATGTCTCCATTTATTAKTTTTTTATTTCTTTCATGAAGATTGTAGTTTTGTAGTTTTCCTCATGTAGGTCTTGTGCACATTTTATTAATTTTGATTTTGTAATAAAATTAAATTCTTAAGGAAATTCCATGATTTCATTTTGGAGGTTCTAACTAAATGTTGTTGTGGGKTTTTGTTATTGTTATTATTGTCGTTCTGTGTGTGGGGTACCGAGATTGAACCCAAGAGCACTTAACCACTGAACCACATCCCCAGCCAAATATACGTGGGTGTATATATTATTAGAGACAGGGTCTCCCTAAGTTGCTTAGGGCCTTGCTAAGTTGCTGAGGCTATCTTTGAACTCATGATACTCCTGCCCCAGCCTCCTAGCCACTGTGATTATAGGCATGAGCCCCCACACCTTGCATTATTGTGTTTTTAATTTCAAATTCCATTTGTTCATTGCTGGCGTATAAAAAAACAATTGACTTTTGTTTAGTTAACCTTGTATCCTGCAACTTGATATAATTGTTTATTAGTTCCAGGAGTATTTTTGTCAATTAATTTCAGATTTTCAACATAAACAAAGATGAACAAAGACAGTTTTACTTTTTTCTTTGCAATCTGTATAGCTTTTATTTCCTTTTCTTATCTGTTTGCATTATCCAAAGTTTCTAGTATGATGCTGAAAAGCCATGATGAGAGGAGACATCTTTGCCTGTTTCTGATCTTAGTAGGAAAGCTTTAAATTTCTTATCTTTAAATGTTATGTTAGCTATAGATTTTTTAATTATTATTATTGTTTTATTATATAGGTTTTTTTAGGTGGACATACAATATCTTTATTTTGTTTTTATGTGGTGCGGGGAATCTAGGCGAGCGCGCTACCACTTGAGCCACATCTCCAGCCCCAGCTATAGATTTTTTAAATAGATATTCTTTATCAAATTGAGGAAGTTCTCCTCTATTCCTAATTTACTGAGTTTTTTTTAATCATAAATGGGTGTTGGGTTTTGTCAAATGTTTATCTGCATCCAGTGATCATGTGATTTTTCTTCTTTAGCTTGTT